TGGGGAGCCTGGAGTCGGAGGGACAGCGCGAATGCCGAAGGCTGGTCCGTGGTTTGGATGCGCGCTGTTTTGATCAAGTGGGAGCTAACGAACCTTTTGTTTCTCGTTTTTAAGCCGCTTCGTTAGAGTTTATTTCTTTCTTTCTTTTAATTTAGGGTAACAGTGAACCTTTTTCTGCGGTGGAGTCTATGCAGTGCCACGTGGTCTCGCTGTGGGTGTTCAGACACGGAAACATGCCCAAACCTTCCTCCCCACAAAAGGTGCGCTAGAACTAGCTAACAGTCAGGCCCCTCTTTCTTCCTTCTCTACCCCGGACACGCTGCATTCATTATTTCTAGGGGTGTACTGGGCGTTTTGTTCACTAATCAATCATGTAAAAGTTTGTTCAGCAAAATTGAAGGCAACAACTAATGAATAATTACTTCTGATTTTTCTGAGAGTTTAGAAACAATTTTTTTTTTTTCTTTTTTTTTTTTGGTTGAAATAATTTTTTTTTTTTTTTTTTTTTTTTTTGGTAGATCTATGCGTCTTCTGGGGTCAGTTTTATTTCCTGTTGACATTGACTCATGTCCTTACCTTTCCCCTAGAGAATAATCATAAAAATGCACAAAAATGGGTGAACTGATAAGGAAGGAGATCCAATCAAAAAAACAAAAAGAAAAAAAAAAAGGAGAACAAGCAAACTTCAAACTCTTTAAACTTGCTGTTTCAAAACAGCAAGCAACTTCTAAAGCACAGGTCAGCTGGTACTGCTCTTATTGCTGTTACCATAGCAGAAACACAGAAATGTGATTAAATAAATAAAGCTAATCAGAAGCAAAAAAACAAGTTTGCAGTAAAAACAGCTCAAGTTAACCTATTCTCAGAGGACTTTGAAAGAAAACATACTTCTAAAGATGTGCTGTGAGAGATTTTAGGCACAGCTGCAGGAAAAAAAAGGTATCCTTTCCCCCTCTCTTTAGAAGGATTAAATCTGTCCTGGAAATTAACCAAAATGGACAAATGGGCCATCACACAGAAACAACAGACTGAAGCTCAGAATGTGAAAAACTATGAGAAAGAAGAAAAATGTCCTGGAAAAAGGCTACTGGATCTTTTTAAAGAACTTTAATGACAGAGTAAGGAACCCAGGCACATTAATTCTATCTTTACTTGTCTCTTGTGATATGGAAAGTATCCTAAAAGGAATTAAAAAAAAAAAAAAAGGGTTCTAACAGACAAAACCAGATAACAATTCCCCTGTTCTGAGTCTATACATCCATAAAATATGTAAGTTTATATCAATGTATGTATGTCAGACGGTTCCACAGGAGGTAATATAACATTTTCCGAATTACGAAGGACATGAAAATGTCTGATCTCTGTAGCTGGATGAGTAACCTGTCTCTCCCTCCTCCTTTAAGGCAGGTCTTCTGATTCCTCTACAAATGTTAACGAATACCTAAAAAAGGAACAAAACGCAAGTCTTAATCTCCTGTAGGTAGTATAGGGCAGCTATTGAGAGTACTGGGGCTCAATGTGTAGAACTAAAGGAGTTTACCTCTGAACTGGAATAAAATAGAAGGATGGAATTGTAAAGACCAGAAAGCATTACTAAGATCGACATTTTGAAATTAAGCTGTGGATCTGGGAGGCAGTTTTAAAGTCTGTTCCCATGGCTGAGCAAAATTCCTGCAGCAAGGGTGTCATGCTGTAGAGCTGGAGCATATTTGCCGGGACTGTGGATAGCCAGAAGTCTTGCTGTTCAGTGAGATGACTGTTTTTTCTCAGCTTGACAAATGACATGCAGCACTGACAGAATACTTCTCCTTTGCTGGCCATCACCCCTACGGACACTGGCCAGAACAGCAGCAGCAGGAACGTACCCTCCAACTCTGATTTAATCACATGGAGCCCAGGAGACTAGTGAATAGAGCTGTTAACTCTCTGTTTGGTTTGCTTTTCCCATCTGCGTTTCATTAAACTGAGAGCAAGATTTATTCACTTTTTTAACATCAGGAGCTGTTGGTGTCCAAGATGATGGTTGATGTTAAGGTATACACACACGGTTTAACCTGGCTGAGGGCCAAAAGAGCCTACGATTTCCAGCCTAGGCAATTTATTTGCAAAAGGACACAAAATCCCTCTGCTCTCGGATGTTTCTGAAAGGATGAGCACGACGACATCTCGCTCTCCCAGGAACACAATACATAAAGAATGCAGGAAAACAGTAGGCTCTCCAGGATGAGCCAGGCTCTCCAGGCATGCAGGCAAACACTTCAGTTTTACTTTACTCCTGACAGCCCCTACATAGTCACAACTACCAACGATTTTCTGATTACCACTCCAGGAATCTTAAATAGATTGGAGATACCAGCTCAGTGTATAAATATTTCTTCTAAAAGCCAAGAATCCTGAATGGCTCAGCTGGGGAATTGCACTTTATGGGAACTGAAATTATGTGCCAGGCTCTCTGCTGTAAGGTGGGATAGCTGAAGCACAGACACTTGCATGCCTAATGAGCTGCCGCGAGCGTAGTGCTCGCTCCTGAAGGAGAAGAAAAGGAACCAAAAGATGGGATTTTGAATTGCTTCGAAAAGATAAACTTTTCCTCAAACATTAGGGTTAACTCAAGATAGAAAGATCAAGGGTGCATTTTTCAGCTGTAAAGAGGTTTCTTTTAAATACCTAAGTTTCAAGCAGTAACAGATAAAGCTCCCAAAATACAGAGCTTCAATGCAAACAGCCTTGAACATTCTTGACACTTTTCCAGAATTTCTGGGCATTTTCTTTTTACCAGCAAGCTCCTTTCCAAAATGTACCACTCTCCCCCTCATCTCTTAATCGTCATTCATCTCATCAAAACTAACATGGTGACGACATCCACTTTCTCTATTGCCTTGCTACTACCCCTGCAAGTACCCTGTGGATCATCAGGTCTGCCAGATTTGCTGTCGTCTACAAAACCTCTGCTTTCTGGTCTTTCCAGGCAAATGCCTTCAAAACATCGTATGAATATCATATTGGCACCTACACAGAGCATCATCATATTACAATGAGTCTTGTAATACTAAGCCTCATGGTATCCCCATATGGCAATAAAAAGTATTCTGAACACAAGACACAATTGTTATTTACAATAGAGCTTAGAAAATAAACTGTATCTCTCAAACCTTATTCAAAACCCACCATTGGTTTGATTAAAGCAGTATTTCTATCACTCAAATATCCATCTTCCCCAGAAAATTTAATACAGGCTGCAGAATCTGGTTCCATGTGTGATGGTTCCTGTTCTGAATTGAGTTTCAATGTTAACAAAAAAAGCAATGACTTTTGTTACTGTTTCATTCAAGAAGAATGGTCTTTTTTCCATGCTCTTTTACATTTTTATCGTCTGTGAGATGACACTAGGAGCTGTGCGTGAGCCAGTATTCATGTGCTTTCTCTTTTATAGCTTTTAAGAATGCTGGCAGAAAATATTGGAATCTGCAAGTTTCAGTTTTCCTGGTTGCTAATGAAAAAAGAATTTGAATTCTATGCAGTGTTAACTCGAAGTGTGGAACTTGGTCATTGTACTGAGTAGTATCCTTCAGACCCAATGCTGTTTATGCATTTTATTCAATACATTAAAAGCAGACTGTACGAGAGAGATTCCTATAGCAGGCAGCAGACCCTTAGGGGAGAAACCTAATCCCTGAGCACTGTGTTAAAAGTTGCGTAACTTAAGTTATGTTTTTGAATGAAAACCTATGTGTCCGGAGTGTTCTGCACTGAACTAAATTCTCCACTGTGTTAGCTATGCCTATAGCTACAGTTCCCGCAGTTCCCCTTCTCCCTTTTGGGGCATACAAGGCAGTCTATGATAGCAATGTAACAAGAAACTTGATTTAGGCATGAGAAAGGTGTCAGGGTGACACATCTCACTGAGAAAGTTGCCCCTTGTCACGCACAGTCGCACGCCTTGTTGACGCTTAAGGACTGTCAGTGGTGAGAATACGGGGCTGCCCAGGTTTCTAAGGTGAGCCAAGTCACTGTTTGATATAGGTGCCTTCTATTCCTCCGGAGGAGTAGGTGCCAAAGTTGTTTGCTGTTTTTTTAATTTTATTTTATCTTTTAATTCTTAAGTTTTTGTTTGCTTAGAGACCACAAAAAGTCCCTGTCGTGATGGCCTCAGGATCACCAGTAGCCGCTAGCACTGCTTGAATACCAGTGCAAAGATCCTCTTTCTCTGTCAGTATGAGGACAGAAGGCAGCCCAACTCCAGATACTTGGTACAGGGATTTTGATCGTACACAGAAAAATAATACCGTTTCTCCAAGAATACTATGTAAGTACTCTTATGCAAAAATGGCTTCTTTTTCTTCAAAGCTACCCCTTTTTACTGCAGATTATTTAGAAGTCACAGAAACTGCAAAGGCCTCATGCCAAAGGCTGTTTCATTGGATATTTAGACAACTTCTAAAGTAGACTAAGTAAAATAAATACAGAAGTATCTGTAAAAATAATACTACATAAGCGAAACCTGCTTAAGTATCATCCCATCCAATTGCTTAAATTTAAAATATTTAGTCCAAGACTAGTGAAAATGAATCCCTCTGAAGAATCAAATTACTTGCTAAAACAGCTGTCAAATTGCCATTTGTATAACCATTAAATTATTAGGATAGACTCAATTTGCCTTTTCATGCAGTGTACTTCATTTATAAGTCTTTTGTTAATTTTGGTATGAGTTGAGCCGTGTTCGTAATGAACTGACATTTTCAGATGTCACTGCCTGTAGGTGTAATAATCCCAAGTTAATTCCTTCTTCAGATTTTCAGCAATGAATACACTAGATCTAGGGTTGGGTTTTATTCTGGTTTTTCTAGCAAATATTCTTTGCAAACTACAGATGTTTAATTAAAGGCTGTTAGACAATTTAAACATCTCAGAAGAATACAAATAAAAACTGTTAATGAAGTAAATATCTGTTTAATTTACAAACATCAGTAGCATTACTGATATCAGTCCAAATAACCAAAACAAAGCACACTGCATTACACATGTACATCTAACTTTTTTTGTAAAAAAAAAAAAAATAAAATAAAATTGAAAAACATCTGCATTTTTACAGGGTACCCTGGGTTTTACTGGAAGAACACAACCCACTATTGATTACCAATTCTACATTATAATTTAGCAGCAACATGTTAACATGGGGAACATTAGGGCAGTAAAGTAGTTTTATTATTTAGGGAAAGTCACAGTTCTTGATAGCACAGCCTTTTTTTTCTTTTTTATAAAAAAGGTAAAGAGCTCCATGGGAATATTAATTTATAAAGATCTACCCTCTAATGTCATTTTCTACACGCCATCTTATTTTCTGTAAGTACTGTATATAGGGAAAATTAACTTCTCTAAAATTGCCACCTAGTGTAAAGACTTTTTCTGTCATACATTACAGGTTCTTGGAAGGTGTCCTGAATATCTGCTGTATGTGAAAACTGCAGATTGTCATCACTTTCAGATTCAGTGACACCAAGTGGTCAGATTCTAAGGAAAAGAAAAAGGGAAGAGGAAGGGGAGGAAAAACCAGACTGAAAACATTTACCCCAAGACGACATGCTACGTTAGTTCTATTGCAAAAAATCCTGATTTTTAAGTCCTTTTAAAAAAAATAAAAAAATTACAAAAATACTGGGACAAATATAAATTAATATATATTAAAGCATTGAAAAACAGTAAAAGGGATGGCCTAAAAGGGTTAAGTACAATGTACTTTGATACAATAAATATTTCTCAATGAAACCGAATACTGTATAGAGTTGTTTAGAACTCATAGAAACAGAAATCCATATTATTACTAATTTATCCATCAATAATCTATTTTTATCATCCCCAAAACATTTATATTACAAAAAATTAATACTGGAAAAGGGCAGATAAACACTTTTTTATGCTTCTTTTGCTAACATGCTGACATAAAAGTATACATCATCAGGAGATTTCAGGATTATAGTATATTCTCATATCTCCCATTTCCCATCCATTAAATGGGACCCCATCTTCTCAAGATGCTTAATAATTCCAAAGGATAAAATGTGTTTCATACAGTTGTTATTTCTGTATAATCTGATTCTTTTCACTCATAATGCTTCCTCATCCATTGGTAAGTGATTGGTATGGTCTGTCAAGACAATAAAATATACTGATACGAAAGTGAAAAAACAAGCCTCATGTTCTGGTCAGTATTTCATCTCTGAGCTGTTAGGTTGAAAGTCACGTGTGTATAGTGTCAGTGTATCTTCAGCATGTTATAAAGAAGGATCCATGTTAAAAGCAGTTAAAGTTTCCCATCTCTGTTGAAATGTTACCAGGTCTTTTTTTTTTTTTTTTTTTCTTCAAAGCTCCTCTTGGCTATGAGAAGTCTCAGTTCAAGCACTTGAATCTTTTGTCAAATGAAGAAAAAGTCTTTATTCTCATAATAAAAATAAGTCTGTTCTGTATTTTACAATATATTTCAAATATTTCCACTATGAAGCATTAATTAGTCCGACACGGTCAATAAGTATACAACATTTTCAAAAGACAAGTGTGACAGGGACACTTAGGAAGGACAATTTGTACAGCCACACTTCACCACTTTTTCAACCTCGTCCACAAATGACGACCCGTCAGTGCATTCAAAAGAGTATTTCCGTCTCTTGCTCCTCAGTGGTCCACAGCACTGCCCGGTTGAACATCCTCCTTTACATTCTAGTCTCGATACCTTCTTGGTCGTCTGGCACGCGGCATACCCTTGCTGCTTTTGGTAGTAATCTCGGATTCGTTCCCCTCGACATGAGATTTCTGTAGAAAACAACATTTAAAATAAGACACTTTTGAGACACGGGTCAAAGAACGGTTGACATTGCTAAGGAAGGTGCTGTGTTTCTAATTGCCGTTGGGATTGATACTTTAAAGTTTGACTCGGACCGTATATTGGAAAGTAGTGGTTCTACCAAACATGATTTGATTAATGCTGAGTTTTATTTCCTATACCTCCTATTTTCAGCAAAGTTTATATTACGTATATGTAAACCATAAATATAAAGCCATTACAAGGACAAGAAAATTGGAAGTTTAAATCTTTTCCTCTTTTATAAAAATACACATCTTCTGTTCCTACATTGCTTTCAGCTGGTTCTATTTACCATGGGGAAATGTTTCAGAGAGCATGCAATTTAATTTATTAGACCTGGAGTTTAATACTATGCAAACCGTTATTTAATACAAGTTACATTCCACTAACTTCATAAATTACTGAGGTATAAAACCAGCTAAAAATGAGACATCTGTTAAAAGTTCTACAACCATATTCTTCTATTCTAGTCACATCTATGTACAATACAAAATAAATGCCATCTGGGGTAGGGGAAGGAGAGGGAGAGCTTTGATAGACAGAGGAAAAAGAAAAAGGTAGGGGGAAAAGTCATCCTGTTTTCATCCATCTCACCTGCATAATTCGCTGTGATAAATCAGTTGAAGCTGAGAGGTCAAAAGTAGAGTTTGTGATAAAACTAGGAGCAGAATCATTGGATTTGGCTTCTCAGTTGCAGAAGGCAGAGAAACAATAAATACAGAAAGATACAGCAGGTAAAAGGTAATAGTTAAATATAGTAAAAAAGTGTTTCTGAATAAAGGCAAAAAAAGAAATGTTTTCACAGCAAAACGTTTGATGAAAAAATTCCTCAAAATGTAAACAAATTCATGGGAGAAGTTTGATTTTTCTCTCACCGAGATAAATTCTTATGGTAAAAAAAAAGCAACAAATGTGTGTGTATTGTGGGGAAAAAAAAGCTGGTAATGTTTTTGGCTGTTCATGTTTTAATAAAAAAAACCTCTTTTCTAAGACCAAAACACCACCATGATTTTCAATTTTTTTTACCTTTATCACAGCTGTCCCCTGTGTATCCGCTGCTGCATTCGCAATATGGTTTCCCAAGTCCTGAAAGCCTGCATTTGCCATGTTTACACTTGATGGATTGGCAGGGGTTAAACAGCATTTCCTCTTCATCACAGAGGACTCCCCCATGTCCCTGCAGGCATTTACAACTGTATGAAAACGCATTGATCGGCAAGCAGGTACCATGCACACATCTACAGGGGAAACAAGCCCAAGAGAATAAAAATAAATTATTCATCAAAGTTCAGGCTAAGCAACATTAACTACAAATACTTTGGACTGTACTCAGAAGAAATTGGTTTTGTTTCTAATGGACTTTTTCAGTGAGATGCAGTGAAGTGGGTTATAATTGGTATGCAGGTTTTCACAACACAAGCTGCAGTACAGAACTCTGTCTCACCAGAAAACAGCCACTGTAGATGTGTTATGGAAGACTTTTACAGGCCACAGTTATTGAAAACAACGTTTCTAACTTTTCTAAGTCTACCTAAATTTTCAGCATGCTTTTGAGAAGAACACAGCAAAATCAAGGCCAAATGTAATCCACTAGAATTAAGTAGAGAAAAAGGATACTCACCTGAAATTCTGGTTCTTGTATCATTTAAAAAAACCCATATTGTCACTCATGAAGTATGGGGCTCCCAGCACAAAGACAGGTCAGGCACTTCCTAACTGAAACTTTTCTGACCCAGCAATGGCAGTTTCAAAGCTGAACACATGCTCCCCCGTCAAATACGTTACTCTGCATTGCCAACTGCCAGTGCCGTGGTCATATAATGTATGAGGCAGGTCTTCACTTCACTGAAAGCCAACAGCACTCATCTAATACTCATGGAGAAACTCACACTAGATGAGGCTGCACATTATCAAGTCTCACCCAAGTAGCTGCTCTCTCAGCTGATCTTTGTGGCAGGCTCAAATCTTGTCGTTAAAACAAAAAAGGCTGTGAGTTAAGCTGCACCTGCTAAGTTCTGATGTACAGTATGGGAACACAGAGCTGGTCTTACTTCTCTTGAGAGGGAGGTGGTGTTTCCCGAAAGGAGGATGTTTAATCACCTGTTCCTAGGTGTAAGCTGAAGATTAGGGGAATTCATCTTCTGAAAACATCACCAATGACTTGGAATAAAATCACTTCCCTTTTTTCATTGGGTGGATAACATAGTCTGTATTTCTGGAAACTTTTTGCTTTGTACTCTACTCCTTCAATACAGTAAGAAATTTGGTAAAATGGAAAAGAATGCAGAACTAACTCTGACAAACTTGCATTAACTATTTAAAACTGTTTCAGTTTATAAACGTCAACAAGGTCCACTCATCAATGAAATGTACATTACAATTCTCCATCTGTACCCTTAATTCTGTGCAAGTGCTTTAACGTGATGTAACTCAGAGGAAAAGGTACGGGAGTCAGTCTCATCGCCGGATATTCAAACAGAAGGCACAACACATAACCTCCGTTCGCATATCCAGTTTGGGATTAAAAACTACAAATATAAAACTTAACTAATAGCTTAAGTACCTCCAGCTTCCATATTATGCAAGAGTCTGTACTTCTGAAGCAACTATGTTCCCTAAAAAATTCCAAATTGTGCCTGTGGTTGAAGTCTGATATTCCAAGACTGTTAGATCAAGCAACTCAAAATTGAAGGCTTTGACAGTATCACAAAGCAAACAGCTTTTGTTTCGTTTTTATTGTGTTTAGCATTTGATCTGTTCACCATTTAAAAAACAACCACTTTTAGGACATCTGATCTGTGAAGTTACTCAGGTGACACCATGTCATATTCTATACAGGCTGTTTTAGATATCAAAGCAATCTGTGTCAGGGTCTTTGGTAAAGTTCTGCTTGACTTAGAAGATGATTAAATCTTAGCTAACGCCAATTCTCATACTTTTGCTTCCACCTGTTCTTTGGAGCCCTAAATTTCATCTTCAGACTGTACTGAAAGGAACATCAAGCTAAGTGTAAACTCTCAGGCACAGTTTCATCTTATCTAATTTTAGGTACCTATGTCAGGCACTCAAGTTAGATGTATAATTGCCATAAGCTCCCCACACAGTCATGGAGAGAAACAAGCTTATCCAGAGGGTGAATAGACCACCTGAGGTCTAGTTTACTCTTTAGAAATGTGTTTATTATTCCTTTACTAACTATAGAGCAAACTTTGGTCACTATGTTTCTAAGTCAAGCACTTAGATTTAGGTAAAATAAATCAAAGCCTTAAGTCTTTTCATGGTGTGCAGGGATCTCTAAAAGATCCCCTACATTTTCGAAACAGAGATCACAGTGACAAGTCTGTTTCTCAGATAAAGTGGAATGTTATACTCTAGTAGGTGGACAAAATGCACCTATTCAATAGACAGGATTGAGAGACAAATCAAGAAATACAGAATCAAATTCCCCAGGAACTAAAGAAGAAAACCCTCCTTCACTCCAAATAAACAATTTTGGTTTGGCCCTCTCTCCTAAAAGCTGAAACAAAACCAATACTTTCAAGAGCTAACGAAATACTAATGTTGTGCTCACTTAACTCTACCCTTGATACTGCCTGTATCTGATACTTGTCAAGTTTTGTAATTTACCTCACAAAGCACTCAGTTTGGGTGCTGATGTGTATAGTTATAAGAACCTATACAGAATCTAATTTTTCAAGGACAGTTCAAAGAAATTCTTTGGGTTATCTTATTATAGAACTTAATGGTTACAGTTCCATGTTATTTTTGATTCCTGAAGTATAAAGTGGATGTGACAGACATCACACTTGTATTATTTAACCTGCTGTGACTTCTTTTCTTTATCTCCTACGTTACTGTGAAAGAGGACAGAGTAAGAAAAAGACTCATAAATAATGAAGTGCTATAATGATATGCTTTAAAAATTCACTGCTGTGGCTTTGAGAAGTGTTCAAAACGTAATAGTACTGAAACAGTCCATAACCTGTGTAAACAATGCTAACTGCATTGTAAAGCATGCTAACTGGCGTGTAAAACTTTAAAGGGTCACACTCTCCACACACATTATGTGAAAAGATCACTTAAACATCATTTCATATGGGAGTTGAAAATCATCTTTTTAGAATCTCTGAGCAAACTCAGGTTACTGGTCCTCAAAAGTCAAAAGTTATATAGGCCAGAGCACTGAAAAAGCAGCAACCAAAAGATCCAAGCAGGCTTACTTTACCAGAAAAAAAAAAAAAAGAAAAAGAAGTTTGCCAACAAAGCAAAACAAAACAAAACAAAGCTCGCTGGCTGGACGGCCGAGCCCAGAGAGTTGTGGTGAATGGTGTTAAATCCAGCTGGCGGCCGGTCACAAGTGGTGTTCCCCAGGGCTCGGTTCTGGGGCTGGTCTTGTTCAATATCTTTATCGATGACGTGGATGAGGGGATCGAGTGCTCCCTCAGTAAGTTTGCAGATGACACCAAGTTGGGTGGGAGTGTTGATCTGCTGGAGGGTAGGAGGGCTCTGCAGAGGGATCTGGACAGGCTGGATCGATGGGCAGAGGTCAACTGTATGAGGTTTAATAAGGCCAAGTGCCGGGTCCTGCACTTTGGCCACAACAACCCCATGCAACGCTACAGGCTTGGGGCGGAGTGGCTGGAGAGCAGCCTGGCGGAAAGGGGCCTGGGGGTGCTGGTTGACAGGCGGCTGAACATGAGCCGGCACTGTGCCCAGGTGGCCAAGAAGGCCAACAGCGTCCTGGCCTGTATCAGCAACAGTGTGGCCAGCAGGACGAGGGAAGTGATTGTGCCCCTGTACTCGGCACTGGTGAGGCCGCACCTTGAATCCTGTGTTCAGTTTTGGGCCCCTCACTACAAGAAGGACGTTGAGGTGCTGGAGCGTGTCCAGAGAAGGTCAATGAAGCTGGTGAGGGGTCTGGAAAACAAGTCTCACGAGGAGCAGCTGAGGGAACTGAGATTGTTTAGCTTGGAGAAAGGGAGGCTGAGGGGAGACCTTGTCACTCTTAGAGAAAGGGGGTTGTGGCGACGAGGGCGCTGGTCTCTTCTTCCAAGTAACCAGCGATAGGACAAGAGGAAATGGCCTCAAGTTGCGCCAGGGGTGTTTTAGACTAGATATTAGGAAAAATGTCTTTACTGAGAGTGGTCAAGCATTGGAACAGGCTGCCCAGGGAGGTGGTGGAGTCACCATCTCTGGAAGTGTTCAAAAAACGTGTGGACATGGCACTTCGGGACATGGTTTAGGGGGTTAACGGTTGGACTTGATGATATCAAAGGTCCTTTCTAACATTAATGATTCTGTGATACTGTGAAACCGTAGTAAGGACAGTGGTAAGGGCCAACAGAATGACATCTTGTTGCCTATGATCAATAAATCCTGAAGAACTTTGAGCTGCTGAAGTTTCTGATCTTTTTGTGCTGGGAGATCAAGAGCCAAAAAAAGTAATCTGTCTCTACCGTAAATTTAAAAGATGAATATGCATAGATATCAACACTCTTATATACACATATATACATATCCTTCTCTCTCTCTCCCCACATATATATATGACCCTCTCTATAAACCTGCATAAAACGTCCAACCTAAAATGTTTTAGTCAAATCAGCAAAAAGAAGTAGCACACATGGACTTAAACAGAAGTTTACCATAAAGACAGAAATCTATTTCCCTACTAAAAACTGGGGTATTGTGAAAATATAAAAATATTAGATATTTCTATTTTATCAAGTTTTTGAAACCCATTAGATAATAATAATAATAATAATAATAATAATAATAATTGTACTTCCTCATTCTATAGAATTATAAATAAGCAAATAGTGGTTTTTTTCCCTATTTACAACTTCTAAATGATTTTTATACCAAGTTTCATATCAACACTTACATCAGTGTAACTCATTACAGAAGTAGTAAGAGCATTTGCCAGGCTTTAGGCAGAACTTCAGTGAGATGTGTGTTTCTGCTCCCCTAAACTGAGGACTTTTCCTCATTAAGCTTATGGAAAGAATATACTGTAACCTGCACACTGTTTTCACTTTTACATGCCCAGGATATTTTGTTTCTTGCTGAAAAAAACTGTGTACTTTTATGAAAAAGTATATACATAACAGGAGACATATGCATATTATACTACTGTCTTGAGGAAGGACATACTTATTTCCAAGACATGGGTCATTGGTTTGTTGATCACAGAGGGGTCCAGTCCATCCTCCTTCGCACTCACAGGAAAAGCCTGACTGGCTGGTAGCATGGCATGTTCCATGCACACAAACTTTCTTATGACAAGGCTCACAGCCTGGCAGAATTCCGACTTGCAGTGGCACATTCCTGAAGTCCTGGAGTTCGCTGTTGATATATAGATTACGGATGCAACCATGGAAGCTGGTGCCGTTCTGTCCTGGAGACTGGCGTAAAGCTGCTATGTTATTTTTCACAGGCATGCCTAAGAAATTAACAATATCAAATAATCAATGCAATCTTTGGTACATTTTTCTATACCATTTTCCCTATTTTTAAACACTTTTAAAGAAATATTTATTCCTAATTAATTATTCTTCGATATTCAGCCTACAACCATGAGCAATGGTCTAGTATTTGGAAATTGTCCTGGTTGTCAAGCATGCATGTAAACCAGCTCCATGCCCATAAGTCTCTAGATCCAACTAAAGAGATGTATATAGGACTTGATACAAGAAGCTCACAACTGTGAAAAGGTTCAGACACATGCCTATTTTTGACCTAGTGCAATTAAGTCCAGGATAGTACACAGTTTCTGAATCTTGGAAAAACAAAAGTTGTTGAAATTTAGCAGTTGATACATGATTTTTTGTAAACTGCTAAAATACTCAAATACAGAAGGATTTAGTAGGACCTGCTCATCAATTTGGAGCTGGCATAGACATTACAAATGTGAAATTTTGCTAGTGAAAATTCTTGCAAAGAAAAGCTCAACAGGAGGAGGTTCCATTACTTTCAACAGTATTTTTGTTCAGCATCTTTCTAAAACAGGTTGATAAAAAAGCCACTCATAGTTTGCCATTGCAGTTTAAAACAAAGATTGTCAAAATAACAATAATTTAACATCAAACTACTTATGAGTAGATGTTTGTAGATCGTGCAGATGCCCCTGATGTTGACCATTTTCAGAGTAATTCCTCTGTTGTAGTCTATAATTCTTAGAGGTGTAATTGGAGCAGGAGGTATATGTGATGCAGTTATCCTGTTGTGATCAGTTAATCATTTAAGACTAATTCATGAGGAACATTAAACATTGTTTCCTTGTAAAAATGAAGTTGCTTCTACTCCTATCCCCTACTTCTTTTTTTTAAACTTATTGTCAACATATTGGCCTATATTAGTTAGTCCTTAAGTTACATTCAAATAATTAACACACAAATGCATAAATACCTCCTGAGAGTAATAAGTAAAGGAAATCAAAGCCAACGGAGCATTAGAAAAGGATCTGTTTACCTAAAAATAAATATGCTTATTAGCTGCACAGGTTTATTCATAGGCAAAATTAACAGTTTTCATTCTGGTACTTAGTTACGTAACAGCCACTGAAAGAGGTACTGTTCTGCATTGCTGCTCCTTCACTGTGTCAACTGATACTTCTCATGGTTTTATACAGTTACTCTGAGCAGTTAAGAGTAATGCAGAAGTGCTATGCGACCTAATGAAGTAGATCTGCCTTTCATTTAGAGGTTATTGTAATTTCATTTGTGCTAAGCTACAAGTGATTATAGAAATGAACAATACTGCATCAATACTGCTGAAAAGCCTAACCTTCTTTGATCATATCAGTTAAGTAGAATAGGCTTGGGACAATTATATTAAAGGACTCAGACTACAAACAATCACTAGTTTCTATTTCCTCAAAATTATTTTCCATATTCTCAAAATCCAGGAACAGAGCAGAGTCATCAAGGCTTCTTCACCCTAATGCCTCCCTTGAAAGCAACAGTCAGCAAATGTTTAGGCATATGGCTAAATATCTAATATTTAAGTATTATATGTAAGTATCTAATAGCAGAATAGATACACTGAATTTATCCATTGTAAAAATAAAAGCTGCTTAAAACTAAGTACACCAATGCAATGCTGAACTAGATGTTACACTTGTAAATGTCAGGAAATTTAGATATGATTTCTGGGTACCTTATAAGCATGTATCACACCAGATAATATGAGATATATCACATGTGATTCAGAGAACTTTTGTCTATAATCCCTAATATGGAAGGCATTTGGAAACACAATGCAGGCATATACACAAGCTTTTAGCCTATACATTTTTTGCTTCTTCTACCAAGTGTTAGAAGGCTAAAGTGTGTGCAAAAGCTGCTCTTACTCTTTAACAGTATTTCTTTGATAATTTTTAGATAAAAGTTCTTTATCAGTTAGGATAGAACTACCATAGAAATGATGCAGACAAATATTTCAGCTCTGTTTTCCAAAAGGTAAGAAAGTAGTTTCTGCCCCCCTTTAAGCTTTTGGTCACTGAACCTGACTACAGGTAAATTACCAAATTATTGCTCAAGGAGGCAAATGAGAATACCCTTGTTAAATAGCAGTCATACAATAACACTATCAAAATGAGTATCTCATTATAGAAGCTGCTAGAACAGAGTGGGCACAAATGAAAAGCAGATGATGCCCTACCTGTCTTAGAAATAGGGGCTTCCATGAAACAAGGTGCCACTCTCAACTAGCAAAATATGGTCTTATTTCAGAGAGAAGAATGTGAAGTATCAGCGAAGTCTGTGACCCCTTTGAAGAGTTTTTGAGAAGAAACAGATTGTCCCTTAAGACTTCTTACGAAAAGCAATGGGCTTTCACTATGATTTACTGAAACCTGTTATAGAAAGACTGAAAAATATCTAGCATGTGTATTCTGACCACACAAGAGAGCCATACCATTGGAAAAATGTAAAAAAAAAAAAAAAAAAAAAAAGAGTATAAATTTATTAGCCTAATTTCTGTAAAAATAATGTTAAATCACCCCTTCCAAACCAACCCAAATATTGTGACGCAAGAATAACTTTGTAAAAAAAAAAAGGGGTGGGGGGGGGGAGAGAAAGAGAGAGCACCGTACAAGGACTTGCTGTCATATCTGAATTTCATCCCGCCAGCTGAGGTGATGGTTACCAGAAATGCCATTTTAGCAGGAAGGTGATAAGCGTAAGTGTAAGCTACATGATGATATAGGTGTCAAACTAAGACTTTGGCAAGGATAAGAATACTGCATAAAATCCTAGCGAGAATTTGAGTTCTTAACTGATGGAAATGTGTGATCAAATTCTCTAAAAATTCTAGATAGAGTCGGATAAGAAAAAATTGAATGAATCTCAAGAAGATGGGTAATAGAGTGAAAGTTAATGATCTCAAGAATTTTAAAGATCATAAATAGATAAACGTAGATAAAGAACAGAACAGAACAGTTTAAGAGCTGAATATCAGCCTACTGCTTTTTTGCTTTCTTTTGTAATAATGTGCTTCTAATAATGGTTTTAATTCTGTTTTGGACCAACATTTTCTATGATAGTGGAAATAATTGCTTGGAACCTGAATATAAAGAATAGAAATAGAAGGAACACAGGACCACTCTAAAGAGTATGCATTAGGATGAAAAAGACTCCTGCCCTTCCCACTGAAGGAAAAGAATATTTCCAGAAATTATTTCTTCTGATACTTCAAAATGATGATGCAGATGGCGGGAGTGTTGACCTGCTGGAGGGTAGGAGGGCTCTGCAGAGGGATCTGGACAGGCTGGATCGATGGGCTGAGATCAACTGTATGAGGTTTAATAAGGCCAAGTGCAGGGTCCTGCACTTTGGCCACCACAACCCCATGCAACGCTACAGGCTTGGGGAGGAGTGGCTGGAGAGCTGCCCGGTGGAAAGGGACCTGGGGGTGCTGGTTGACAGCCGGCTGAACATGAGCCGGCAGTGTGCCCAGGTGGCCAAGAAGGCCAACAGCATCCTGGCCTGTATCAGGAATAGTGTGGCCAGCAGGAGTAGGGAAGTGATTGTGCCCCTGTACTCGGCACTGGTGAGGCCGCACCTTGAATCCTGTGTTCAGTTTTGGGCCCCTCACTACAAGAAGGACTGTAGGTGCTGGAGTGTGTCCAGAGAAGGGCAGCAAAGCTGGTGAGGGGTCTGGAGAACAAGTCTCATGAGGAGCGGCTGAGGGAACGGGGGTTGTTTAGCTTGCAGAAAAGAAGGCTGAGGGGAGACCTTATCATGCTTTACTGGCAGAAGTCTCTCATTCGCTGGCCCTTGTTCTTGTGGGGGACTTCAATTTACCAGCCATCTGCTGGAAGTATAACACGGCAGAGAGGAAACAATCTGGGAGGTTCCTGGAGTGTGTGGAGGATAAATTCCTGACGCAGCTGGTGAGTGAGCCCACCAGGGGAGGTGCCTTACTGGACCTGCTGTTTACAAACAGAGAAGGACTGGTGCGAGACGTGGTGGTCGAAGGCCGTCTTGGGCTTAGTGACCATGACATGATAGAATTCTCAATTGTGAGTGAAGTAAGGAGAGGGGTCATCAAAACTTCT